TTTAGTAGCCTGTATAGAGAAAATACCAAGCAATGAATAAAACAGATGCTCTTGACTAGTAATCCAAGTAATGCCACTGCGTGCCTGTAGAAGCATATGCAAAGGGTCACAAAAAACTATGCCAGGTTAAGAAATTACAATCAAGCCAGCCCATGGCTCACTCGGGAGAGTGTGGTGCTGATAACACCAAGGCCACGGGTTCGGATACAGGGATGGCCGGTTAGCTCACTTGGGAGAACGTGGTGCTGACAACACCAAGTCAAGGGTTAAAGATCCCCTTACTGGTCATCTTTAAAAAAAAAAAAAAAAAATTACAATCAGGCTCTAAAAAATAACTAATTGTCCCATTAAAGAATTTTGTAATCACCTATGATCTAAAGATGGAAGTTACTGCTAAACGTTTAAGACCAATAAGAATGCAAGCCTACTGTAGCCTTAAGCCCACTGATTAGTTAACATTTCACATTTTCAGGATTGTTTCAAACATTACAACTAATGTTAGTACATTAGGGATGTGTTATATAGGTCTTAAAAAGATTCATTATTCCTCATTTCACATTAGTCACTCCAATGCTAATTAGAACAGGGTTAAGAATTAGTGCTTGACTAACTTCAGGGGTAACAAATACACAGCATCGTAAAACAGCCAGACCTCCATTGCACTAATTTTTGAGGTGAAGACGACGTTTTCATTTAAGCTACCATTAAACATCTAAAGTTTAATGATGTAGTACATTATGAATATAATTTCACTACTTACACAGGTTTAAGTATTTCCAGGTGAAATTGTTGACTAGCTAGGCTTGAGAATTATTAGTTCAGAACACAACAGATCCAAAGAGTTATGATCTGGTTTTGCCAAACAGATTTACTATCTGCAAGTTTTTAAAAATCAGAAATAAAGCCAATAGGTTGGCCAGCTGGCTTAGTTGGTTGGAGCATGGTGTTATAACATCAAAGTCAAAGGGTTTTCAGATCCTCGTACCAGCCACCAAAAAAAAGAAGAGAAGAAATAAATCCAAAGCCAAATCCAGTAGCTTGTCTCCTTTCTACACCACGCTTATACTTTAAGGGAAAGTATCTCCCAATGGTCTTATGTCTCAGATAAAAGGTAACAAAGCACTTACACTAAAATTACTTCAAATATGAAAACTTCAAGTGAATTAACTGTACGGGTAGGGTTGATAATAAAGACCAAAAGCAGGTATAGTTTAATGTATTTTAATAGCAAACTTAAAGGAACAGCACAGAAGAGAGACAACATTGAAAATATGTACTTGCATATAGGACAACTCAGTTAGAAAAGTATAGTGAATGGATGGAACCTACTGTATGATAAAAACGCTACAAACGCCATTTAGTTGCCATCAATAAGAAATTTACTTATTTTAAAAAAATCCAAATGCTGGCATTGTCCAGAAAAATTTAACAGGTTTATTTATAATTGTTATAAAGTTGAACTGCTGAAACTTGTTCACTGAAACATTTTGACTTGCATTAATACTTTACGTCCCCGCATTTATATTAAAAATTCACACACAAATGAAAATGGAAAAACTGCCAATACTTGATTTCTGTCCCCTATTTTTCCACTTGCAACCATATACTTAGGTACCTTTTGACCCCATGGAAAAAAAATATCTAATGTTCAGAACTACCAATAACAGGAAGAAGAGAAATTTTTTTTTTTTTGAGAATGAAATGTTTCCCATCATAGTGGATTCTTAAGCACGTTCTCCACGTATGCGGCGTGCTAGCTGGATGTCTTTTGGCATAATTGTTACACGTTTGGCATGGATAGCACACAGGTTGGTGTCTTCGAAAAGGCCAACCAGATAGGCCTCACTTGCCTCCTGCCAGAGGAATGAAGAAAAAATTATTAGTGATATTATTTCCAACAGTTAAGACACACATATAATTAAATCAATGGGGGGGTTGAATCCTTTATAAACCTACTCCACAAGATGCTATTTTACCAAATGCTTACATTTTAAAACTTGTGAGACAAAGCTCAAAAGGTAGTTTATGAAAAGTCAAAAGCTCAACTCTAAATCAAACTGCACAAGTCAAATTATTACTAGGAAACTTTAATTTTTCTAGTGTTACTATGTGATTTCCAGTAAACTGAAATGTCTTAAATAAAGCAAGAAATCCAATTTAAATTAACAGTCTCATCCTTACAAAGATAAATGGAATCATCTCCAGCCCAGGCTCCTCCTCGTTCTGAACTGCACACTCCAATATTTGAACTTGTCCTGTCCTTGCCAAGTAGTGCAACATAGCTCACAACTGGTTTCCATCATGTGATCCTCATCTACGTCCCCTCTACACCTCAGTTTTATCACAGGAGTACTTGGAGGTCCCAGAACACATCACAGATTAGTCTCTTATTTACACACTTTGATCTCTATTATGCATAGATGTGCCCTTGTCCCCTACTAAGTAACTTCCTCTACGAACCTGAATCTGTAATGGCATCTGCTGCCCTCTAGTACTAACAGCGACCCCTCTGGTTTTTCCCATTTGACTGTGAGACTCTTTCAAGGTATGTTCTTATCCCTCCTACCACCAAAAAATGCTAGCTGTATGAATCATTTATTGACACCTGGTATGTGAAGAGGAAAGGGGAGAGCTTCCACTTAACTCATGACTCAAATTGTTAGTACACTTTACAGTTGTCTTATATTTAGGAAAAAAAAACTTTTATAGTTGTTTTCGTCTTAAAAAGTTATTTCCATTTTAGAATCTTTAGGTAATGATAAAACTAAAACACACACCAATAACTTGGAGCAATTTAAGCCCCATAAAGCTACATTATACACAAGATAGATGGCATCCATAGATTTGTTTTGCAAAAATATTTTATTTGGCAATAAAACTATTGAGATTCTACCTTTGAAAGCATTAACATAGCAACAACTAATTCAAACAGTTACATTATTTCGCTTTATGAAAAAAATATTTTATTCACACTTATACCTTTATCCTTCTTACCCTTTATCACTACTTTTCCATAAAGATTTCTTTCATCCAAATTTTACTATCCCTACATGTCTTTCTTTACTTGTCATTAAGAACTTTAAGGACTAAGTTTTTTTGTTTTGTTTTTTTGCAGCTGGCCAGGATGGAGATCTGAACCACAGACTACGCTCTAACCAACTGAGCTAACCAACCAATCTCAAGAATGAAGTCTTATTTTCCTACCTTTTAAGGCCTGGCTCAAGACTATACAACGGAGGAGACAGTAAGCACTCGTCTTGCCCCTGTTCCCAGTACAGGTAAGCTGGATCTCCTAATTCCCTGGCACCCACACTAACCTTGTAATGAGCCATCTATTAATGTCGTCAAGTTACTTAATAATAGAGATCTCACTTTATACTCAGTGCTTTGCCCTCAAGTGGATGTTCAATATTTGATACTTTGTTTTTACATCTAACCCTAATTAAAAAATCTCTATTCTATGCAATTAGTCCCTCATCTCTCACCTATTCCAAAGGTACGAAAAGCAAAAGTCCTTAATATTCAGGGATTCATTCTGCGGATATTCTAGAAGTGGGCAAAAGCTGGAAAACATAGTATATCGTGGCCTCCTCTTAGAGACTCACAATGCACATCAGATACTAGAACTGAAGTTCCTCAGAAAAGAAACAGTTTCTAGGAGGCTGGCCAGTTAGCTCAGCTGGTTAGGCGGCAGCCTTATTAACACTAAAGTCATGAGTTCAGATCCCCATACTGATCAGCTGCCAAAAAAAGAAACCAGTTTTTCTTAACCAGGCTCCTCAGGATCACGCAAATCTAAAATGCTTTTGTGAAATGTAGCACTACAAACTGCTATGTGAACAAGCCAACAGGTGCCACGGTTCTGAGACCATTTAGAGTGGTACTGTCTACTAGCTCACCTTGGACTACTCAAATGTGACACGTGGCAGGCAGCTGGGGCTCTCACTGATGTCTTAAAACCTGACTAATTGGTTTCTAAGGGTTGTGTCTGATCAGCTCTTGGAGAAGATTCAATACTCAGAAGGGGTTTGATCATGACCCATGTATTTCCAATTCGTTTACTAATGCCCCCAAATCCCTTAAATATTAAGACTGTAGAGGGAATTAAACACTGCTACATTAATTTATGACCCAAAGAATATAATTAAGATATAATAGCAGAAGAATACCTTACAACTAGAAGAAAATGTTAAAACCTCAACATTTTGATTATACTTAATGATTGATTCTTCCATCATTTCAAAGCACTGTCCATTTTTAACACTAAAATACTTTAATTCAAACTCAGACATTAAAGGCAAAGACTAAATTTTAAGAGAGGCAATTCTCAATTATTTATGGCAAACTCAGACCAACTTCTCTACCACTCTCACTGGGCTACCTCCCTTCTTTTAGTTGTATTAGAATAGTTGTAAATTATGTAATTCTAAAGCCAAAAATAAAGTGACTTTTGGAATTCTAATTCAATTGCTACTTCTACTACCCCATTTCTATTAGCAAATTCTCCCATTTGTTTAAGAGAACTAAAATGTATGCATAAAAAAGGTGAATACAAAACAAAAAACTTGTAACAAAGATTACTCTTTCCAATAAAGATCAGAACTATTTAATGCCAAGAGAATTACAGGCAGCAGAGGTGAACATTCTGCTGCTCAAAAGTAATACTAACTACACTTCATGATAAATATTTAACTTATTAAGAGCAACAATGGCAGTTTACACATGGATAATTTTAAAGACAAGCGTCTTTTACCCAGACTGTTTAGCAATCTCAAATTATATTGCATTTAAGCTAAAAAATGCTGGACTTTCAAGTACAGTATTGTGTTCTTTAAGCATAGTCTTGCTAACTAACTGTAACTAGAAAACAAAATTAGCAGCTTTGTGTCAATGCTTGGGAATCTTAGTAATATTTCTGTATTTAGTAATAAATGAAATGGGAACTGAAGAAAATCAGCTCTTAAAGCAGAAAATACAGTTTTAAGTAACACGATTTTACTAGTCGAAATTTCAGTAATTTCAACTCACTAAGAATTTCATGGATTCCTACTCCTGGCATCAACCTATCAGATGAAGTTTAGACTAACCATAGAAACAGCTCAACCAATTACACTTCAATGTAGAACCCACCTATCAAATCTTTCTCACATATAAAGCAAAAGCCCAGCACAGCAACAGCAGCCTTGAAAATCCTCCAATGGAGTGTATGTAGATTCTGGACCTCCCCATCCCCCCTAGATTCTGATTCAGGTCTGCAATGGTGCCAAGCAATCTGCATTTTTAACCACCCTCAAACTCCATACTTCTTCTTCTTTTTTTTTTTTTAAAGATGACCGGTAAAGGGATCCTAACCCTTGACTTGGGGTTGTCAGCACCACGCTCACCCAGTGAACTAACCGGCCATCCCTATATGGGATCCGAACCCA